AGAGAGAGAGAGAGAGAGAGAGAGAGAGAGAGAGAGAGAGAGAGAGAGAGAGAGAGAGAAAAGGAAACACCCCCAAGTCCATTTGTCTGGGCATGATTATGGCACACTGGGCAAGTTTTGTTTTGGTTGTAGTAGCTAAGGGGCAAACCCCATACCATGCAGAAATTTGAAAATCCAATTATTTTGCCCTTGGGAAGGGCGGGCAGAGAAATCGTGGCTGTTCTGTTGTTGAGAGTTGTTCTGGGAAACTCCCAGCCACAAAAGCTGCCCCAATTATCCATAAAAATGTCTTTTCTCCCAGGGTTTGTTCTCTACCCAACCCTCTTAGTTCATTAACTCACATTCTTTGCATTAAGAAGCAACAAGAGAAGAATGGCTGGTTTGGAAGAGGAGTCAAAATTGAATAGAGAGTAGAGTAGAATAATAATATAATAGAATAAAATAGGAATAAATAGAAGAGAACAGAACAGACAATTGGAAGGGACCTTGGAGGTCTTCTAGTCCAACCCCGCTTGCTTAAGAAGGAAATCCTATCCCACTTCAGACAAATCTCTTCTTAAAAACTTCCAGTGCTGGAGGATTTTTACAACTTCTGGAGGCAAGTTGCTCCACTGATTAATTGTTCTGTCAGGAAATTTTGCCTGTGTTCTAAGGAGAACAGCCCTCCCTCAACAGATTGGAGGGATATCTTCAGTCTACACCACCGTCCAAGAAGACTCCATTGCACCACTCGGATGACCCTGAGGACCATTATACCATTATAACTACCTAACGCAGGTGGAAGCAGAGAAATAAAGTCGCAGCCAATATCTCTGAAAAACATCAAGCAAATGGGGGAAAAAAATATATTTTTTCTGCCTTTCTGGCACAAGAAGAATTGTAATTTGGCAGTGCTTTTTGTAGACGTCTGCTGGGTTCCTGCTCTGAAGGAAGGAAATAAATATTGCTGCAAATAAATTCCAGAATGTGTACATAAAGAGAACGAAAAGAGAGGGTCAGTGGGCGGGCAGGTTGATATAAACCAAGTTGCCAAGATAGCGTTTCTCTGAATCTTCCCATCTGTGACATCTGGCGACCGTACGATGAATCATGAATCATATTCAGTTATATAAACCTGAGGAACAAGAGGCATCTTGCATAATCTTGCAAAGAGCAAAATGAAATATAATCTGGTTATTTTAGTATTTCCATCTCAGGATCTCTAAATCTTCCCAGTTGTTACTCAAGTCTTCAAAACAAGGTGTGGCTCAAACGTGGCAACTTGAAAATGGGTGGACTTCAACTCCCAGAATTCCCCAGCCAGCATGCTTTAAGATGGGTGGACTTCAGCTCCCAGAATTCCCCATCTAGCATGTGTAAGATGGATGGACTTCAACTCCTAGAATCCCCCAGCCAGCATGCTTTAAGATGGATGGACTTCCAGAATTCCCCATCCAGCATGTGTAAGATGGGTGGAGTTCAGCTCCCAGAATTCCCCATCCAGCATGTGTAAGATGGATGGCCTTCAACTCCCACAATCCCCCAGCCTGCATACTTTAAGATGGGTGGACTTCAACTCCCAGAATCCCCCAGCATGCTGGCCACAGAATTCTTATCTGGGGAATTCTGGGAATTGAAGTCCGCATCTCTTAAAATGGCCACGGTTGAGAAACATGGATGCACATTTCTTCCACAACGCTTTGTAGCTTGGAAAAATTAAACAGGGGTATGGGGGGGAAAAAAATCTCCTATCCAACCACCCACCCTTTGTTATTTACCTTTCCTTCAGCTTGGTGAGCCTTTCCCCATTCGTTCATCACAAAGATATCGTTGACTGCTAAGCAAGCAATGATCTCAACGCCTTTGCCCTTCAGTTGTCCTGCTTTCTCCACATAGCCGGGCAGATGCGTCTGTCATCGGGCACAAAACGAAAAAAAAATCACAGTCAGTCCTCGACTTACGATCACAATTGGGCCCAAAATTTGTCTTGCCAAGAGAGACAGTTGTCCAGCGAGTTTCGCCCCATTTTAACCACCGTTAACAGAAACACTGCAGTTGTTAAATGAATCTGGCTTCCCCCTAGACTTGGCTTGTCAGACCTTGGGACACTGCAACCGTCATAAATATGAATCAGTTGCCAAGTCAGCCTGAATTTTGAATAGGTGATCATGGGGACGTTGCCAACGGTTGGGTGAAAAATAGTCATAAGTCACTTTTTTCAATGCCAATGTAACTTTGTAGGTCACTAAATGAACCATCGTAAGTTGAGGACTGCCTGTAAAGTTTCTTTTCTACAGCATCCTCTTTTAATTATTACAGCTGAGAACAGGTTCAGGTAGTCTTCTAACGACCACAATTGGGACGGGAACATCTGTTGCTAAGCTATGCAGTCGTTAAGTAATTGTGCCTGGTTTTACAATCTTGTTTGCTGCAAATTCTATTCTATTTTCTATTCTATTCTCTATTTTTTTCTATTCTATTTTCCATGTTATTCTATTTTCTATTTTATTTTCTACTCTATTCTCTATTCTATAATATTCTATTTTATTCCTTATTCTATTCTAATTCTATTCTATTATTTCTATCCTTTCTATTCTATTTTATTATTTCTATCCTTTCTATTCTCTTCTATTTTCTATTCTATTCTTTATTCTATTTTATTCTATTATTTCTATCTTTTCTATTCTATTCTTTTATTATTTCTATCCTTCTATTCTATTCTATTATTTCTATCCTATCCTATCCTATCCTATCCTATCCTATCCTATCCTATCCTATATTCCATTCTCTCTTCTCTTCTCTTCTCTTCTCTTCTCTTCTCTTCTCTTCTCTTCTCTTCTCTTCTCTTCTCTATTCCATTCTCTCTTCTCTTCAGTGTAACTTTCAACAGTCACTGAACACCCCGTTGTAAGTCGCGGACTACCCCAGCAAAGTTCTCAAAACTTTGTTTCAAGTTTTATAGTGCTCTCTAAGCTGCCTCCGCCTTTCAAATTTTCAATTCTGACAGATTCTGAAAAACAGGCTCTTACTCACTTTGGAACAACCGGGGGTGAAGGCACCGGGCACCCCAAAAAGAATGCCCTTTTTCCCTTTGAAGAGGCTGGACAGGTTCACTTTGTTGGAAGGGTCTCCCTCGTAGACCTCCACGCTGGGGAGCTTGTCCCCAACCTGTCAAAAGAAAACAAAGAAAATTGACTTCAATTCCCAGAATTCCCCAGTCAGCATGCTTTGCCTATCAGGTTGCAAAAGATATTGCAATCTTAGGAAAAGGAAAAGAGTGAAAACAGAAGTAAGATTGCAATATCCTTTGCAACCTTACTTCTGTTTTCACTCTTTTCCTTTTTTACAGCTAGTCCTGTACTTAAGTGTGAAAAGCAGTCATAAGTCACTTTTTTTCAGTGCTGTTGTAACAGGTCAATAAAAGAACTGTTGTTAAGTTGACTCTCTGTATATAAATTATGGGTTATGTTTTGAAATAGCATGAGAATGGAATAAGTTATATATATTAATACTAACTCAATACCTGTGCTTTGCTACGAAACTATGTAGTCGGGCTCAGTTTTTTGGGAGCAAAATAAGGGGAAAAGAAAGAACGGAACGAAGCTACTTATGGCTTAGCTATGCGGAGGATCCAACTTATGGCAAGGTTTGCAACAGAGGTTATACAACAGCCTAGCTAGCATTTCATCAAATCATATCGAATATGGCACGCATATCATTTACACACCTGCTTTGGGGGTCCTTGCATCCAGCTTTTGACGGATCAGGAGGAAAGCTCCCACCCCCCCAAAAACGTGCAAATTGCACCATTAGCAGTGTCCCTTCGAACGGACACCTTTCACAGGGGTGACTTTACAAGGGAAGACACTTTCTAAGTCCAGTTCAAGGTCATTGCAGGGGGGTTCCTGCACCCAGCTGTTGACAGATGAGGGGGGCAACCAAGCGTGCAAACTGCACGATTAACAGTGCGCTGGCCCTTAGCACGGGGGGGGGGTGACTTTGCAAAGGGAGGCCGTTTTCTGTGACCCCCTTTGGAGGTCATTGCACGGGGGTTGTTGCACCCAGCTGTTTGCAAATCAGGAGGCCAACCCCGCAACCAAAAACGTGCCAATTGCACAATCAGCAATGCCCCTTTGCACGGATTTTTATTTTATTCTTGTTTTTTTTGCACTCACCTTAAGGGCCGCCATGGCCGCGGCTCCCGAAGCAAAGGCCCGCCGGATCACCCTGCGATTTGCAAGCAGGGAAGACGCCCCGATTCCCCAACAAGCTCGCCCCAGCGGCCCCGTCCGGTTCCACCCCGTTGCCATGGAAATCCCGTGAGTGACAGTAGCCATGGCAACGCGCAACCTTTAGAAGTTTCGGCCCGGCTCAGCCGCCCGGGGCTTGCTTGCTTGCGCGCCCCCGACAGTGCACGCGGCCCTAAGCGGGTGGAAGGTTTTGCTTCCCGTGGGGGGCGGGGGGGGGATGGCTGGGAGGAAGAGGAATTAGGAGTGCAATTATTTTATTGTATTCTATTCTTAAACATGATGTTTCTTTGCAAGAAATCATAAGTGGGAATTGCAATAGATCAGACGAGGCTTTGCATCCGTTTGGGAATTGCATTATCCGGGATATAATAAATGAATATATAGATCATTGCCAGCTTGGTCCTCTTTTATTTTATTTAATTATGTTTCTCTTGGCATCTTGTCAAATCCTCCCATTCCTAGCCTGTGCAGGTACAGCCTGATGGGGCTTGTAGTCCCAAGATCATGAGAGTGGTTGTTTTCTTGCCAAAGTTTCAGGACCCAAAGTAGGTAACCTTATCAGTACTGTTGGATAAGGATCAGCTACAGATAGTCCTCAACTTAACAATCATTCATTTAGTGACAGTTCAACCGTTTGAAGGTACGGCACCGAAAAAAGTGACACTGTTTTTTCACACTTAGGATCACTGATCAAATTTTGCACACTTGGCATTTTGACTCATATTTATGACAGTTGTATTGTCCTGGGGGTCATCCAATTACTTCTGTGACCTCCTGACCAACATCAACAGGGAAACCAGATTCATTAACAACCATGTGACTAACTAACTTAATCACTGCAGTGACTGACTTAACCACGGTAGCAAGGAAGGTGGCAAAACTCACTTTAACAACTTGCCTTGCCAGAGAAAATCATAGGCTCAGTTGTGGTCAGAAATGGAGGATTTTCTGTCAGGCAAAAAAAAAAAAAAACGGGCAAGATGTTTGTTCCAGCCGAGCATGCACGTATATTTGGCTTTTTTTTAATCTTTCAGAACCCACTGGGCAACTTTAAAACCACAACTATAATGACCTGGGAAAATACCCGAACAAAGCTGAATACCGTACATGTAAGTAACATTTTGAACACAGTGTATTGTCAGGGCATATCATTTACAGAAAAGCAAAGAAAGAACAAAAAGGAATATTAACATATATATTAATGACAATAGTAATAGTGTAACAGAATAGTTTTAACTAGGTTTCTCTTTTTATTGGCTTAGTTGTGGTTCTGTTAAATATTGGCATATTTATAATTATAAACCCTCTTTATATTTAGTTCATGCATAGCAATAAACTCATCTAATTTCTATCTCTTATCTCTAACCACTCGCAAAATCTATTCCATGTTAAGTCATCGCTGGTCCCGAGTGCGAATCCTCACTCTCTTTGCAAAAAAGAAACACACCCCAAAAACAGCCCCCCGCCCTCTTTGGAGCTTGGCAAAACAGCGCCCGGGACCGTGTTGCACGCGGGTCGCGTTTCCGGGAGGACCCAAGCGAGCGTTGCACAAGGGCGCCGGAAATGAGCGGAAACCGGCGGCGTTTGTTTACACCCAAACCGGAAGCGGCCCGGAAGGGATTTTCCCCCCCCTGCACGTGTCCTCCCTTGCTCGCTCGGCGGACCGAGGGGAAAAAAAAAAACACACCATGAAACTCCTGACCCACAACATGCTCACTTCGCACGTGCGGGGCGTGCGGCCAGGAGGTGGGTTTCCCCTTCTCATAAAGGTAAGCGAGGATGGCAAAGCCCCCCCCCCCCCTCCCCCCCCCCCCGGCTGATTCTGCAGCCCATGCTTCCCAGCAGGCTGGACTGCATAGCCCATTTCTTTAGACCTGTTAAGGGATGCACTCCAACTCCCATCCCCCGGTCAAACTCCCCTAGTTTTGCATTTTCCAGCTGCGCTGGACTCCCAACACCCATCATCCCCAGCTCCCCCCCCCCCCCCGTAGGTTTCTTAGATTTAGCAGAGAGAAAAAGAGAAAAACCGAGCTGCCCTTCAACATGGGTCTGGTAGTCCTAAATCTGACTGTTGGAGCCTCCCAGCTGAGCGAAGGAAACTGCATCATCCTGCCTGCGATCCCATCATCCCGTGCCTGAACAAATTTTGTCTGTCAAAACGACGCTATAGAGCCCAGAACACCAGAACAACTAGACTCAAGGAGAGTTTTTTTCCCCAAATGCCATCACTCTGCTAAACAAATAATTCCCTCAACACTGTTCAACTATTTACAGAGTCTGCATTACTATAACTATTAATCTTCTCATCCTTCCTTTCACCCATCTCTTCCCACTTGGGACTGTAACTTTGTGGCTTGTATCCTTATGATTTATATGGACTCTTTCCTAGTATGATTTGATTGCTTATTGTACCCTATGACTATTATCAAGTGTTGTACCTGATGATTCTTGACTCTGGATGAATGTCTCTTTTCTTTTATGTACACTGAGAGCATTTGCACCAAAGACAAATTCCTTGTGTGTCCAACCACACTTGGCCAATAAAGAATTCTGTTCTGTTCTGTTCTATTTATCTTTTTTTATGATTCTTGACGAATATATTTATTTTTTCTCTTATGTATAATCACATTTTACAACTTATTTATTACAAATAATATAATGTTCATCATATTTACCTTTGACATTTGTATAATTCTAATAGTACAGTTGTTTTTATTAAGTTATAATCTTTCATTATCTTATTCAATATTTCAATGTTATTATTGTCAATGTTGTCAATCAAATTTTACATGTCATTTCTTTTCTTACAAATAGAATATTAACATTCATGTTAATTGATTAATCTCTCTTCTGCCCACAGGCTACAGAGGTGAAGGTGAACGATATTGATTTCAACCCAGAGTTCACAGCACGGATGGTGCCCAAAATTGAATGGGGAGCTCTGGTGGGCGCGGCCGAAAGTGTAAGTCCTGGGCAGTTATTGGGGTGGAGAAGGAGAAAGGCAGAGAAAACAGCAATCCAGTGCTTCCTTCTTCCTCTAGGAAGCTGGGGGGTTCTACACACCCCATTTTCAAACGTGGGCATCTTTTTATATTTCCTTTCTTGCCAGCTGCCCAGGCCATGTGTGTAGGGCAGTTGAGGGAATTGGTGGGTGACAATCTCAACCAGCTGTTGAAAATGACAGCTGACCTTCCTTCCTTTCCAGTTGGGCCACCGCTCAGACCTTCCCTCCGAGGTCATCCCCGACTATGAGAAAAATGAAGATTTTCTTCGGAAAGTGCATCATGTCTTGATGGAGGTTTGAAACCATTTCATTCTCCCTTAATTCATGGAAACCCATTCAGGAGAATCCTGTTTGTCCCAAAACAGCAGCTTGTTCTTTCTCTTCTCTTCCCTCCTTCCCTCTATTCCTTCCTCCCTCTCATCTTCCTTCCTTCCTTTCCTCCCTTTTTCCCTTTCTTCCTCTCATCTTTCCTCCCCTCCCTCCCCTCTATTCCTGCCTCCCCCTCATCCTTCCTCTCCCTCTTCTTCCTTCCCTCCCCTCCCTCTACTCCTCCCTTCCTTCCCTCCCTCCCTTCCATTCCTTCCTCCCTTTCCTCCCCTCTATTCTTCCCTCCCTCTCGTCCTTCCCTCCCTCCCTTCCTTTCCTTTTCTTGTCCTTCCTCCCTCTTTCTTTTCTCCTTTCCTTTTTTCTGCCCTCCCTCCCTCTTCCCTTTCCTTCCTTCTTTTTCCTGTCCCTTCCCTCCTTCCTTCCTTCCCTTCCTCTTTCCCCACTGATCCCATTTTTTTCCTTGTTTAGGTGGAGGTGATCGAAGGCGTTCTGAAATGTCCAGATACTGGGCGGGAATTTCCCATTACTAAGGGCATACCAAACATGTTGCTGAGTGAAGACGAGACGTGAGCTGTTCTGCTCTCAAAAAGGCGCTAGGAGAAAGTCCAGAGGAATGGAGGAGAAGTATTAACTCCCCTGCAACCGTTTTTGCATTATTATTTTGTTTTGTGTTGTGTAAATAAATCTGAATGCGTAAATGCATACTTCACGACTCCTAGGATTGGTGTGTTGAGCAGATCTGTTTGGAAACGGAGTTAGACTTGCAGTCACAACCTTGAGATGGATGGCCGTATCAGATTAACAGGGACCCCGGAAGTCATCTATCCAATCCCCACCCGAGCAGGAGACCCTACACCATTTCTGACAGAAGGCAGTTCTTGAAAGCTTCCAGGGATGAAGCTCCCACAACTGTTCCATTGCTTGATTGTTCTGTCAAGGAATTCCTCCTTATTTCCAGGTTGAATCTCTCCTTGATCAGTTTCCATCCATTCTTCCTTGTCTGGCCTTCAGGTGCCTTGGAGAATAGCTTGACCCCCTTCCTCCTCTCTGGGGCAGCCCCTAACCCCTCAAATATCAACGGAGGTCATAAATAAACAATACACGAAATTTTCCAGCTGGATCTCCTTCCCTGGCTGGCCGCGAGAACGAATTCATCGAAAAAAAGCTGCTGTCAATCAGAGGCAGAGACTTAACGGTTGCCAGAGGCTGCATTGGCCTTTTTAATTCTTTCAGTAATAGAGCTCTCTATGAATGTATAACCGCCTATACACAAATCAGAGTATTTATAATATGTACACACACATAATTTAATTAAAAAAAAAATCCAGCGTGTTTTTTTTTCCTTTTTTTTTTTTCCCTTCTCCCTTCCCCAAGGAGAATATCACACCTGCCTCATTGGGGAAGGGACCAGGTGTGCCAAGATCATTTTTTTTTCTTCCTTTTCCTTTTTTATTTTTTTTTTTTTTCCTAAAAAAAAAAAAAAAAAAAATTTTTTGCTATTACCAGGCCCCCCCCGCTCCAGCCGCGGGGGGGGGGGGGGGGGGGTCTCCCTTCCAAATTTTAGCAGGAAGGAAGGGAGGGAATTGAGAGGGAAAATAAGGTGGGTTTTTTTTTAAATTATTGCTTTGGGCAGAGGACGTTGGGTTTGGGGGGGGGGGAAGAGGGGGCAGTCACCTGTTTGGGCCAGGGGGAGACAGGGCGTCGCACCTGAAAAGCAAAGCAAAAATTGCCTTTTGAACTATTGCTATGTGGGAATTCGGCGAAGGATGCAAGAACGAAAGGACCGGCCTTTATTTATTATTATTATTATTCTGTCTCGGAGGGAGTGGGGCTTACTTCTTCACCACAGCCCACCATTTTTTCCTGGGTTTGAAGGCAGGTTGCATGTGAATGAGGCAGATTCCCCCCACCTCGGAGACCCCAACTCTTTCCGCATCCCGTTTATTATTATTATTCAAAATTATTGCTTCAAAGGGATGATCTGGGAGGGGAAGGAGAGAAGGAGGCAGATGGTAGGAATGGGGCAGGGAAAGGCGGAGGTGTATCCCTCCCCTGAGGTTGCACACCAAGGCAAAATGAGGGGGGGGGGTTGTCCCAGGCCTTCCCTTCTTCCCCTCCCCATGGTCTAAACCCCGAATTCCTGGAGCCATAACTTCCCACAATGTCTTAAGGTGCTTTGGATCGGGGCAGAGCCCGAGCATAGGAACAAAGAGACACCGGAGGGAAGAAACCTAGGCAGCAGGAAAAGACCCCCCCACCCAAAACAAACCCACAGGGACGTTCGGCTGGGGTTCCCCGACCCAAACGAGGTTCATTCTCATCTGGGGTGGGACAGCTCCGATTCCCCCCCCGCCCGCCATCCTGTAAGCTAAAGAGCCCCGTCTTCGTTTCACAACACTTAACGGCTCAACACTGCTGGCGTTACAGGACCTAACCTCCTCTTCTCTCAGCCTTGGCAGCTAGAAGGCTGGACTACAACTCCCAGAGTTCCTCCGCCTGCATGGATTCTGGGAGTTGTGGTCCACCCAGCTGAAAGTGTGCTTGCTGGGGGATTCTGGGAGTTGACGTCCACCTAGTTTAAAGCATGCCGGCTGGGGGATTCTGGGACCCCCATCTTAAAACCATGTTGCCTGAGGAAATCCGGGAGTCAAAATCTCCGCCCTTCTCTTAAAGCAAGCTGACTGGGGGATTCTGGGAATTGAAGTCCAACCCCTCCTCCCCTTCCTGCTGCCAAAGAGGAGAAACCTTGTTTAATCCCCTTCCCTGCACCCCACCCCGACTTCCCCATCAATAAAGGAAAATTAAAAGTATGGCTTCCCAAATGTTTTGTCCCCGTCTCCACCAACCGCCCCCCCCCTCCAGGTGTCAAATCAAATCCGGGGAGGTTTGCCGTGGTGCCTGCGTTGCAGTGATGGCGTTTCTCCGCGGTGCGTGAAGCTTGGGAGGCGTGGAGGCGACCGCGAGGTTTGCATATGGTGAAATGCATCTTAGCAGCGCGATAGCCGCGGGCGGGAATTCAGAGGGTGGAAGAATCCGCATCCAGGCCTCTGCGGCTGCTGGTCTCGGTTGCGCGCTTCGCACCCACTCCCCAACCCCCACCCTGGATGCCTGGGCTCCCCCACCCTCCTGAATCCTGACCCCCTCCCAATTCTCAGCCTCTCCTGCCTTCAGTCCATCATGGCTTCCAACATCTCCAAGAAGAGCTTGTGCATCGGGGTTTTGCCTTCCAGTTTCAGGCTGTAGAAATGGTGCAGGACCCGGGTGGCGGTTTGGCGCAGGAGCGGGAGGGTCAGCAAAAGGCGGCCGGCGCGGCGCGGCTCCTCGGGGCGCCGTGAGGCTTCGTACTCCAGCAATGCCTCGTGGAGGACGTCCCGGAGGTGTTGCACGGCCGCCATGTCCTCGATATGAACGGAGTCTGGAAGCAGAAGGGAAGGCAAAGGGGTTACAGGAATTGATTGGAACTAGAACTCACCGTCTCCTGGTGATTGGCCCAAGTTAACCCAGTGGGCTTTCATGCCTAAGATGAAACTAGAACTCACCGTCTCCTGGTGATTGGCCCAAGCTAACCCAGTGAGCTTTCATGCCAAAGGTGAAACTAGAACTCACTGTCTCCTGGTGATTGGCCCAAATTACCCCAGTGGGCTTACATGCCTAAGTCGAACTAGAATTCACCGTCTCCTAGTGATTGGCACATATTAACCCAGTGAGCTTTCATGCCTAAGGTGAAACTAGAACTCACCATCTGAGTGGCCCAAATTACCCCAGTGGGCTTACATGCCTAAGTGGAACTAGAATTCACTGTCTCCTAATGATTGGCACACGTTAACCTAGTGGGCTTTCATGTGTAAGGTGGAACTAGAACTCACCATCTCCTGGTGATTGGCCCAAATTAATCCAGTGGGCTTACATGCCTAAGTGGAACTAGATTTCACCATCTCTTAATGATTGGCACATGTTAACCCAGTGGGCTTTCATGCCTAAGGTGAAACTAGAACTCACCGTCTCCTGGTGATTGGCCCAAATTAACCCAGTGGGCTTTCATCTGTAAGGTGAAACTAGAACTCACTGTCTCCTGGTTTCTAGCTAGGCAAGCCCAAGCCTCTTCTCGGAGCTCACCTGAGTTGGCAAGCGCCAACGCCTTCAGCAGCACATATTCCTCGCGCTCCAAACGTAGCGCCCGGTATTTCCGCACCAGCTGGAGGACCACGCTGCTCAGCTCCAGCAGTCCCGCCATCCGGGCCGCCTCTTCGTCGAGCGCAAAGTCTTCCGCAAACACAATCTCATCTTCACAAGGCAGCGAGCGCCAGGCGACGCCAAGGAGTAAAACTTCCAGCCAGACGCTCTGCAGGACGGACATCTGATCGGCCAAGGACAACGCTGGGAACCCTGAGCCGGAAGAAGCAAGCCAGGAATATTTGTGTGTGTGCGTGTCTGTGTGAGACTTACAGGGAATCTTCGACATATGACCACAATTGAGGCCAGCACTTCTAAGCACAACAGTTGCTAAGTGAGTTTTTGCCACAGTTGTTAAATGAACCGCTGCGGTTTGTCAAGGGAGTAACATGGGTGTTAAAACGAATCTAGTTTCTGTGTTGGCTCTGGTTGTCAGAAGGCTGCAAAAGAGGAATTACGTGACCCTGGGACATTGCAACCGTCGTAAATATGAGTCAGTTGGCAAGCATCTGAATTTTGATCCTGTAACCTTGGCTGCATAAGTGTGAAAAGTGGTCATAAGTCATTTCCCCCCCCCCCCCCACTGTCATTGTAACTTGGAACGGTCACTAATGGAATGATTGCAAGTCAAGAAAGTGCCAATTTACAGGCAATCATTTTAGGATATTTCTAAAGAATATCTCTCTTTTTTCTTTTAATTTTAACTTCTAATTTAAAATGGCAAAGAATTAAAACAGGGCTGTGTGTGCAAGAAAGCAAAATATATATATATATTTTTAATGGAAGGCTCTTTTAACAGGTCAGGATTTGCAGGAAATGGAATAATTAGGTAATATTAGGGCATTAGAAAATATTCCAGTCCTCATTTCCTGGATTTGCACTGCTTTTCACTACTTTAGTGGCCCTTTTGGAAGATCTGGGCACAGCTAGTCTTCAATTTATGATGGCAGTTAAGACCAGAATTTCCATGGCTATGTAAAGCGGTTATAAAGCCATCCTATTTTATCACCTTTTTGTTGGTTTTTTTTGGCTCCGATCCTTAAGTGAATCCCTGAAGTTATTAAATGAATCAGGTGATCATTATGTGAATCTGGTTTCCTTCCCACTGTTTGTCAGAAGCCGGCTGAGAAGGTCACAAACAGGACGCTGAAGCCGCCGTAACTCCATGACAGCGCCCAAATTTTGCTCCCTTGACCGTGTGCGATGGTCACAAGTGCAGGGACTGGTCGTAGGTCTCCTTTTACACTGCCCTTCACGTGGTCGCTAAGCGAGACATATCATAAGCCTGGGACGGCCGGTCTAGGAAAAGAGATTACCATCGAGAAATTTCATGGGTTACCTGGTATATTTTTGGCCCAGCCGATGATGACCACAATTTCCCGGTCGGCCAGATCACACAAAGTGCTCGCGGCTTTCGCCGGACCCTCGGGAAGCGCCGGATCAGGCATGGCGTAGAGTTTCTCTGGTTCGGCGACCAACAAGTGTGACACCATTGTGTTCATCGGCGCTGCTCATCGGAAGGAAGAGAAAAAGGATTGGGTTTTTTTTCCCAGTAGAAAGAGAGAAACAAAAATAATGAATAATGAAAGGAGGAGAAAGGGGGAAAAAATCGAGGAAGCGAGAACAAAGCTCCAAGTCCCCTCTTTGGATTTGTGTGTGTGTGTGTGTGTGTGTGTGTTGACAGTAATGTTGATGATTAAAAATGAACTTATTTTGTGATTTTTTTAAGCGCTTTGGTTTTCTCTCTCTTTCTTTCTTTCAACCTTCCCTCCCTCTTTCCTTTCTTCTTTTCTTTCTTCATTCCCTCTTTTCTTTTTCTTTTCCTCTTCCTTCCTTCCTTCCCTCCATCCTTTTCTTTCCTTTTTTCTTTCCTTTCTTTCTTTCCTTTCTTTCCCTCTTCCTTCCTTAACTTTTTTCTTTTCTTCCTACCCTTTTTTCCTTCCTTCCTTTCCTTTTTTCCCTTTCCTTCCTTCCTTCCTTTCCCTTTCCTTCTTTCTTCCTTTTAAAAGAAAGAGAAGCAAGGAACTGTCCAAAGGCAAAAAAATCTTGTCCAGGATCACCCTGGATCACCGCAGATCCTGGGACGGGTTTAGCAGGTATGCCAGCCAATCCTGCTTAAACAAACAATGGTTTGTTGGTTTGTAGCCAGCCAGAACAGCCAAACTCCAAATCTGGCCAGCACTTATATATATCAGGAGGCGGCAAATACATTACTCCTTGCAGCGTCTCACTTAGTAGAATCCCAAAACTGAGGTTTCTGCACCCCACAAATTCTGGGGGGTAACTCAGCAATCCAGGGAGCTCACCTGACTTCTTGGCGGTAGCTGTGGCAATCTGTGGGGTCACAAACGTGCTGGGATAGGGGGCACCTTCCATCTCTGGCCGGCGCTTATATTTCTGGCGACCCCCACGAACCCGATCAAGGCGAACCCCTGAAAATTGGCAGGAAGAAGAAGAAAAATTATGGCTCAGAAGAAAATATGTAGTTTCATCCATTGCTAAAGGCCAACATCCCCTCGTGCGTTTCTCAAACCATCCAAATTTAGCCTCAAAACTTTTACCATTCTTACGCCTCCACCCCACAAACCCTTCCTTCCTTCCAAGGTAACACCTTGGATTTAGCGGTAGCATTGGCGGGGGGGGGAAAGAAACTCTTGTTATGCTCAGAGGCACTGTCTTCAGAATTCAGCACTCAGCTAGGGCAAAGCACGTGTGTGTGTGCATGTGTGTGTGTGTGTGTGGTTTGAAAACTCCGGAGCCTGGGAAAATTTGCCAGCCAAGACTTCCCCTTCTTCAGCAAAACGAGACTACTAACGGGTGGGGCTGCATTACAACTCCCATCGTCCCCACCCATGGCACTGTGGAGGATGGGGGTGGTTCTTCATCAGCTGCTTGTGAAAACCGTGGTTGGAAAGGCTGTGGGGAAGAAAGAGAAGGCAAGGGGGAGGAGGGGGAAAAGGAGGGAGGGAGAGAAAGAAAGGAGGGAGGGAGGGAGAGAAGGAAGGGAGAGAAGGAGGAAAGGAAAGGAAAGGAAAGGAAAGGAAAGGAAAGGAAAGGAAAGGAAAGGAGGGAGGGGAGGAAAAGAGGAGGAGAAGTAAGGAAAGGAAGGAAGACAAGGAAGGGAGGGAGGGAGAGAAGGAAAGGAAA